TTTTCGACGAAGGCGGAGGGCGATAAACAATCGCTAATTTTAAAGTAGCATTGTCATAACTCAGGTCGCATTCCGTTATCTCAAAGGATCTGGGTTTGTCATGGCCAAAACCCTGGGCCTTCACATGGAGGCTGGACTTATGAAGTAGAGCAACCCCGCCACCCCTGCGATGTTCTCTGGGAACACTGATGAGACTGAAACCCGCAGGTGTGATATTTCCGGCAGCTACACTGTCATTTTCCTTAAGCCAAGTCTCTGTCAATGCTAGCAAATCTAAATCATGATCTTTCAGATGGTCAATGATAAGGTCAGATTTATTACGTGAAGACTGGCAGTTTATCAATCCTACCTTTAGTTGCCCATTAGTACGTCCTTCTTGCTGTTGATTGATATTCTGATGATTCCTCTTACCACCTCGGATTCCTCTGTGACCAGACCTGGGTCTCCTGATGTCTAAGTCGACCAGTCTGTTGTAGTCAGAGGCAGGGAGTCTCCTCTGATCATATGTCATGTGTATCCTTATGCAATAGAGCTCAGTGCATGTATACTGCAGCATAGTCAATTGTATGATGAGAGGTATTGAAAGTCAAGTCAAAAGCCAAGGGCATTCCAACTAGATGGCACAGTAGGAATGACAAAAGAGCACAACAAAGCTCCATTCATCCACTTGTGCATCACTGAACATGAATGGTGACAGGCAGGGAAAGTGAACTCTCAAATTTCCAACTTCAATTTAAACATATGGGACACACAGTGTAAAATCCAGACATCCAGCTGAAAAAAGGATGGACAATCTCAGACAAATGTGATGAAGAAGAACCGCCAACATAGCATCAAAAAGTATCCTTAAGGTATCCAGTAGAAGGTGTTAACCAGCAGACACTAATATTTCCAGCAAAAATGCGAAAAAACATGAAATCTTGGAGGAGCCAAAACTGGGTCGCCTTGCAGGGCGCACACACAAACCAAAACAATCCCTAATAATATTGCGAAAAATACGAGGAGAGGGTCGCTATTCATAAAAAGAGAAGAGTTCGCTGTTCATAATACGAAATGAGGATCGCTATTCATAATACGAAATGAGGGTCGCTATTCATAATAGGAGCAGAGGGTCACTATTCATAATACGAAATGAGGGTCGCTATTCATAATATGAGGAGAGGTTTGTTATTCATAATACGAAATGAGGGTCACTATTCATAAAACGAGAAGAGGGTCGCTATATTTATAATACGAAATGAGGGTCGCGATTCATAATAGGAGCAGAGGATCGCTATTTATAAAACGAGGAGAGGTTTGCTATTCATAATACGAAATGAGGGTCGCTATTCATAAAACGAGAAGAGGGTCGCTATTCATAATACAAAATGAGGGTCGCTATTCATAATACGAAATGAGGTTCATTACTCGTAATACGAAATGAGGGTCGCTATTCATAATACGAAATGAGGGTCACTATTCATATTGGGAGGAGAGGGTCGCTATTCATAATACAAAATGAGGATCGCTATTCATATTGGGAGAAGAGGGTCGCTATTCATAATACAAAATGAGGGTCGCTATTCATAATACGAAATGAGGTTCATTACTCGTAATACGAAATGAGGGTCGCTATTCACAATAGAAGCAGAGGATCGCTATTCAATACGAAATAAGGGTCACTATTCATATTGGGAGGAAAGGGTCGCTATTGATAATACAAGTTGAGGATTGCTATCCATAATATATGAGGAGAGGGTCGCTATTCATAATACGAAGTGAGGGTCGCTATTCATAATAGGAGAAGAGGGACGCTATTCATACTACGAAATTAGAGTCGCTATTCATGATATAGATCGCGAGTTAGGGTCGCGCTATTCATAATACGGAATGAGGGTCGTTATTCATAAAATGAAATAGGCCTAAGCAATATCCAAAATGCTTATAATAAAAGAACAAATTGGACGGAGGACACCTCCTATTCGTCTTGTTTTTAAGTAGGTTTATTTCACCTTTTATCTTTGATAATTATATAGAGACATCTCCCGCCTTTATGGTGACGAAAAAAAAAAGGACAACACATATAATCGTATCGTAATTTGACTTCCTTGTGGAAAATTTTGCCCCACCACCCTACCCCCGACTGATCTTATCCAGGCTATGCCATTGCGACATTAAGTAGACTAAGCAGGCCCATTTCATAGTTATTTAAGGACGGAGTTTGTTATTTAAGAAATTGTAATTGTTTATACGACAATTATGTTTTTGTAGAAAGTAGATTTTAGTAGGACTTATGGACCTACAAATTATATAGCGGGGTTGGACCGAACCACGAGCCTACTTACTGTCCAGAGGGCGGGGGGGGGGGGCACTTTAGAATTTCGATATTTTGTTTGAGACTTTGGGGGATAGGGGGTTTGAACACTTTCGGACCTTGAAGGTTTTTCGCGTCATTTATCGTACAAAGAGGTAAGGCCCTTATGTACAACGGCCCCAAATTTGTATTATGAATAGTGACCTTCTTCTCATATTATGAATACTGACCCTCTTCTCTGATTATGAATAGCGGTCCTTATGAATAACGCGGACCTATGAATTACTGACCTTATGAATACTGGTCCTTATTAATAGCGACATTGACCCGGGCTTGTGGGGGGGGGGCTCCATAGTGTGTATATTTAGCAAATTGATAACTTCGAGTGCAGGGTTAAAAGTAGTCGAGAATCTGGCGCTATTTGATTTTGATCTCCCCCTACTTACTCAGGGGCGGATCCAGGGAACACAGGCAGCACGTGCCCCCGACTCCCCCCCCCCCCATGTATTTTAAAGAAGACTGAATAAATAAATAAATAAAGAACGCAAAATTAAAATGTATCTTGGGACTTTATTGACTGAAAATCAAAGTCACTCGCTAAATCAGCATATAAATACATGTCAACACATACAAATCAAATAGAATTGAAACACAATAGGATGAAGACATAATTAGGCAAAAATTCAAGGTGATTGGAATGCTTAAGAGAAAACTACCGAAGATTTCAGAAGTTATAGTCTCTGCTATAGATACACATGTTATCACAGTTATTACATGTACATGTATGTTAATACGTCTTTTAGATAAATATGTTGGAATACACACTATACACAATTTAATTGTATAACTATAATCATGACTTATACGAGTTATATCATAATTCATATAAAGATAAATAGCCTATGCCAAATACAATTCTATACAATATGTACATTTGCAGAAATTCTAAAAATTTGGTACTCTGTACAAGTCGCGCACATCATACACTTGGCAAACAACACATGTAGAAGGCTTTTGAATAAAATGGATTCTGTTTACTTGTTATATTAAGAGCAAGCCTAACACTATCCACAATACGATCATAAACATATACACCTGTAGTAATATTAACAGAAACATGAATACTAAAGGCTGTAATAATCTCTGCTTCATCAATTAAATCCGAATATTTTCAACTGATCTAAAATATATCAAGTATATGCAATGTTTATTTTGACTGCATGACAATTTCTTTTACATACATAGCTTATGGCTTGCTTTTTTTTTGGCACCATATTATTTTTTTCTACTCTAATGCCAATAAAACCTGAATCACTTGTACAATATGCTTACAACATTATGTATCATGTATGAGAGCACACATTTATACAAATGCATCTCCTTACCTCTCCCCTTCCCCTCCGTTTTACAACACACATACAACACTTTACTTTACACATTCCCCCTCACTATTTTTTAGGGGGAGGGGGATTGTCCCCCCAGAAAATTTGAAAAAGTGCCCCTCCCCCCCCCCCCCCAAAAAAAAAAAAAAAAATGTATAGCAAATACTGACTAAAGACTGCAACACACTTTTAGGCTCTGGAGGGCCACAGAGAGCAGCGTTGAGACTAATGAAAATGCAACAATCTTCTCGCTTGGTCGCTACGCTCCCTCCCATAATATCCTTCAAAATGTACTACAAGTAGTAAATATTGCTGTAGAAAATCTTGCATTTCATCCCCCGGTCATGAAAAGAAAAATCGCCGCTATGACTGTACATAATACATCTGATACTGTTGATCATGATGTCCTTCTTAACAAACTTTCTCACTATAAAATTCGGGGAAAACCGTTGACGTGGTTTAGGAATTATCTTAAAGGGTGCTCCCTATTTGTTTCGCTGAATGATCATTTCTCTGAAAGTAAACCTGACCTTTGCAGAGTCCCGCAGGGCAGTATTCTTGGCCAACTTTAAAAGTTTAAAAATGATTTTTTGTTTTTTATTTACTGAATCAGTTATTGTTATTTTTTTCTTCTTTTCTGAAAAAAAAAAATTCTTAATAATTACTATCACGGGGGGGGGGGGGGGGGGGGGGGGGGGGGGGACACCCTACAAGCTCTGCTTTTTAGTCGGCCTTTCTTCCATTTCAATTTCATTTTTTTTTAATGTATTGTATTGTGCAAATTGATTGATATGTATATTAACATGTAAATATGTAAAAACGTACCATCATTGTAAATATGAAAAATGTTAAGAGGAAAAATAAATGAATTGAATAGATCGGAACAAAGCTATTGGCCAGCCTGAGAACCCATGCAGTCTCCTATGTGGGTATTTGTTCATCCTTGGTCTAAAGTAGGTGCTATGAAACATCTTGAGTGTCTTTCATACTAGTACTACCACAAATCACAACACAGATCTTGTTTCCAGCAGGTGCAAGTATTACTTTGTTCAGAATAGGGTAGGCCTACTAATATGGAGAAGTACAATTTATATATTCATTTATTTCTAATATATATAAACGGTAGCACATTATCACCAATTTGGTGGTCTTCCATGAGGCCCTGTTTGGTAAGAATAAAACAAATAACAGCAGCAAACACAAAATAGATAAATACACAAGCATATAAACAGGTAAAATACAAACTAATTGGTATCCTCTTGAAATAACTGATCATTCAAGAATTATCCTTGATCATTTACAAGAAATATGTGAATGGAATTTTCAATTTGAATAGAAAATAAAAAATGTCTATATATGGTCCAACAAGGCACCACGTGGCTACTCCCGGAGCGTTGACGGTGCGGTGAGACTGCAAACATGATTGTATTCTCTGTGACTGGACCCTGTCTCTCTACGTTCATTCCGTAGACTACCAGTTTCAACAAGTACAAGATAGTCATCCTTGGAGGATGCAGGTCTCTACAAGGAGTTATCGATGGCTATACAGAGACTCCCTGTGGTGTACCGTGGCGATACAGAGACTCCCTGTGGTGTACCGTGGCTATACAGAGACTCCCTGTGGTGTACCGTGGCTATACAGAGACTCCCTGTGGTGTACCATGGTGATACAGAGACTCCCTGTGGTGTACCGTGGCTATACAGAGACTCCCTGTGGTGTACTGTGGCCTGGAATGTGCAAAGGCTTCTTTAAGGGGGTCTGTTTGTCATGACCAAAGCAATTTTGTAGGCTGAAAGTATGCATTAGTCATAATCCTGGTTATTACAAGTACTTTCTTTCTGAAGTCTGATATGAGCACTGATGATAGTATGTATCAATTTCAATCTCATTATCATGTTTGTCCAAGAGATGGCTTTAACCACAAACTCAGATCTTCACTCTTTCCTGACGGTGGACGACTGAAAACAGAAGAAGAGAGAAAGGATTAATCCAACTGGGTAATGAGAGAAATCAAACTAAGAACACAAGTGACAGCAGGCATGACTTGAATGGGAGGGGGGAGGGGGGGGGGGGGGTGGCATGGGGAGACATTCTTAGATCACCCATGCCTCTGAGTCGATAAACATTCAGAAGTCAAACTTATACCTTTTAATATATGCCTTATTATAGATATTATTTGGTACAAAATAAAGTTACAAAGTTTACTTCACTCTAAATCCCCCTAATGTCAGCAAGAGTTTGTGGATACCTCTAACAGGCACTGTGAAGCCCTAATGTACGTTCCTCTGTGTGCAATTATCTTTTCACAGTCATAACTATAAACATGGTCATATTGCACATCTAAATTGCGGGTTGAAAAAGTTATTGCACACGCAATAAAAGGTGATGATTAATCTAGAAATAATACTTATCAAGCACTAATTAAAATGAAAGAAGGTTTAAGAAATGATCAGAAAAAACAAGAATAAAATTCAGAAAGAGCATCAGTGGATGCATGTCAAACGATTAGGCAAGATCAAGGTTTGTTAAAAAAAACATGAAATTGAGAGTTTATAAACTCAATAACGACAGAAAGAAGAAAACAAAGAAGAAGAATAAGAAGGAGAACGAGAAAAATACATAAGCACACACAATAATGGTTATAATCAAACTGTATGTCAGTGAAAAAAATCAAAGTGAAATAATTTTGTCTGTAATTCAAAGTATATGTTCTCTTGAAAGATTGTGTACGTACATGTATATGATACTACAAAATACAATTTACTAACATTTTAAATTTAATTTTGTATCAGATAATGAACATTTCATCAAAAATATCTAAGTAACTTATATGTCTCTCAGATAACAAAGATAGTTTTAGGGAAGTACAGGGGAAGAATCAAATGCTTATTGAACGTAGTATTGGTTTTTGCCAATGGGAAAAAATAAAACTGCTATAAAAATGGCGAAAACAACATTCAAAGAAGAAAGTACATGATTTTAAGTAAACCACAAAAGAATGATGGGATTAGGTTTTGTTTCAGCCTAATATGTATTTTTTTTCTTTAAAATATGAGTTTTTATTTATCTACGATGTCCATGGAGTACCCTCGATAGTTACTCAAGTGAATCTAATACGCAACTACATACTTCTGTCGGAGTGTGGTCAGATAATTTTCAATAATGATCAATGTTCTAACAAACTTTCAGTACTGTTATAAACATGGTGGCATGTTGATCCTAAGTTTTGTATCTACAGCCTAATGGCTGTACAAAGATAAAAACGATGAAAACAACTCAAATTTTGACACTTAGTGTTATTTTTTGGCCCGAATGAAAGTCTAATATATAGAATCACAATTTATTCTTCTTTCCAAAAATATAACCATGGGGGTGTAAATGTTTTAATATGGGTCAGGATCCAGCAAAATCTAACCCAACTACAATGTCAAAAACTCATCAAAACCATGCGTGCAACAACACGTCTATTCCATGAATACGGCGTACTAAGAGAAGTGGTCCAGTTCTCTTGGTTCTCTCTTAATAACAGGAACTTCTTGACTACACAATATCATCTTTATGTATATGCACACAAATCATCTCCCTGTGTGACAATGTATGGGAATGGATAGATGTACCGAAAGCTTCAAGATTATTTAACTGTGTGGATTCATCTACAATTGTGTGAAATTGGTAATTTTGTAAAGCCATTGTGTTGCACAGAGCAAACCTTCCATCAACGGGTGTTTATTGTTTTGTGCAAAAGTGAAGGTACTGTGGCAAATGAGCGACTGTGCAGAGAGGGCGACAAAAGCAATCAAAGTATTACAAGACTATGCTTAAGAAAGCTTTGCTCGTAGGGATAAAGAGTCTGGACGAAGCATATTTGAGTTCCAGATGTTCTAACATAAATGGGTAACCGGAAGAATGCGAAAGATGTACTTTGCTCAGCATTGTGAGCATCTGTAAAATGATGCCTGGCTGGAATGCTCCCCAGGGAGTGGAGAATGTGCATTCATTGTGTGCGGACAAGCCTGAATCCAATGGCGTGGTAATAATATATCTGTAAAGCATTTAGAGACATCTTAGAGACATCATTGATTTATTAAACGTTATATATAAGCGGAATGTTATTATTATTTTTAGTATTATTATCATTATTTTATTATTTCTATTATTATTATTACTACTTGGGGGGGGGGGGATTAGTTGAGCCACTGACTCACAAAGTGTTAACGTCTTCATTCCATGATAATGCAATCAGAATTTCTTTTTCATTTCATGACTTTCATTCATAGAGAATGCAGACATCAACATTTGGACACCGTGAATTAGTGGATGAATTCAAGCACACAGAATAAATTGGTAGGTTATTTATAAACCAGACTTTATGTACATGTATAGCCGAGACTAGGACTGCTCATGCTGGAGGACAGCAAAGCGAGCATCTTCGCTGATGTGTGTAAACGTGTATGCCATTAAATGGGAGAAATAAACAAATACATTGAAAAATAAAGAGTTCTGATATTGTAATAACAAGATTATGATTCATGACGATGATAAGACTGCGTCTCCTATACTCCTCTGCCCTAAATTCAGTTAAGAAAATGGATGAAATTATTCTTGAAATATCATTATGAAAACAGAAAGTCTATAATTACATGTCAACTAACAACTAATATACAATGATCTTTGATCTACGTACTCCAAACCTAACCAGATCGTCTTCCTATGCTGATACACAACGTCACCAAGTATGAAGTTAATGCCTCAAGTTATGTTTTTGAGATATCAAGATAACAAAGCTAATATAATAACTGTGTTTTTAAAGATTGACTCCTATGACCTTTGACTTGTGACCTACATACCCATGTACATACCCATAATATAAATAGATTGTCATCTTAATCAATAGTCCCTTTCATGTTTACATGTTCTATATCTTACTCCTGTCATTCTTTGCTTATGATGCAGATGCTTTAATATGTGATTAAACTTTTCGCATAAGTGCACCTTGAGCATTACATTTTGGAGTGAATTTGGCCCCTTATAAATCACTTGTATTATACAGGGTGTTTATAACAATGTACATGCATTAAATACACACATGCTTATAATAATAATATTTCACCAGAGAAGAGATGTGGATATAGATACCTAGATCAAACATTAATCAGATCATACACTGAAGAACATTTAGGAACATGAAACAAAGAAAGAGCTAGAAAGTTGAGGGAGCTAGAGAGAGAGAAAGAGAGAGAGAGAGAAAGAGAGAGAAAGAAAGAGAGAGAGAGAGAGAGAGAGAGAGAGAGAGAGCGTGTGTGTGTGTGTGATAGAGATAGAGAGAGAGGGAGTGAGAGAAGGAATAAATAGCCCAAACCCAACAACTGGCAAAGAGATTAGTGCACATATCGTCTTGTCCTCAAAAAAGAAAAAGATAGACAAAAAAGCAAATGAAACACCTACCTATCATATGACTTCTTCGAGAGAAACTTATTGAGAATATCATCTGGATCACTGTCATGATCTGGATTAAATAAAATGGTCAGAAGCAAAAAATAAAAGCATATTTAAGATTACATAAAGCCTTACAGATAGTGCCAACCAAAACTAAATCAAACAGCAAACGATCTATGAAGCATCCATGTTGTTCATGACCACACATCTACAATAACATGTATGCACCGCACAAAGTTACAACAGGAACAATTAACAAAATTAAGATGTATAATATAGTACATATTCTGTCTCCTATTGACTTTACAGAACAGTGCACAATCAAGCTCTCATACATACTGTACCCTATGTGAAACAAGAATTGTGCCTTTCAAATAGTGACATTACAGGACGGCCCTCAGCAGTTTATAATGATCCAATTTCATTTACACACATCTGTAGAGACCAAATCACTCACACAAACACACAAATGGGACTCATGGAATTTAGTACTAGAAGTTAAATCACAGTACCCCTCAGGACCTACATTATTAAAATAAATCATCATACTGTATACCACTTTGTGCTTTTCAACCCATCTAGGGGGACAACTGTACAGCAGTCAAAATATATGCTTAAAACAGGGCTGCTGTAAATGTGTGAAAAAATGAATATTACCATGAAGTGTCTCTATGGCATCACTTCTGGCCTGGCTCTTGGCTATGATTTTATCCAGATCATCATGGTCTAGTCGTGATACAGAACGTCCAGTCTGAAGAAGAAAACAAAATATTCACAAACTTTGCAATACATACAAGCAGGGATACATTGACCCAAATACAGCAGATCTGATCCGAGATACACATGTGTTAATTTATTTGATTACTACAAAAAGTCACTTTTTAAGGGGCAAATTCTTGGTTGCCATCCGATTTCAGGAAACAGGTTTCTACTTTTTGGACCCAGGGTATGAGGCTCTCGGGCGGGAGCCAGATACCTTGTTTTTAGTCACAGCCCTAATCCAATATACACATACACTTCAGGAGACGAAAGTCCAAACACATGTCCTATGGTTGTAATCATAGAGTCCATCCATTTTGGAGCTTGCATGTACATCCACACCCAAGTAGTAGGGATAATCTACCGGTGTGTCGGCTCAGCCAGTAGGGCGTCCGCCTCACAACTGGAAGGTCGTTGGTTCGAACCCCGGCTGCATCATACCAAAAGACGTTAAAAGACGGGAGTTGCTGCTACCTTGTTTGGCGTTCAACAATAAGGGATAGAGCAATGTCGATCTGGCGCTGCTCAGTGGTTGCCGGGCTCATGATCAATTGGGCAAAAAGAATTTCCATTTTCGGTTTAGCTTAATACAATTTGGAGAGGACTTTAAAAGATTATTATTATTATTATTAGACTCACTTTTCTGGGTTGGCTGTTAACAGGAGAGGGCACTGCACTACTTCTTGTAGGACGAGATGCTGTCTTAGGCATGTGTGTCTCTCCACTGTCTATACCAATGAATGCACTATCTGAGTCTAGTGGGATAGCTGGAGAGCCCTGCAAAAACAACATTAACAAAAACAATAAAAATAATAATCGGTACTAACAATTTGACAAATATTAATATATATTAAAAATTATAAAAATATGAAAATAGACCAAAAAAATAACCCATCAACCTGCAAAAAGGCAATAGTTTCAAATTTTGAACAGGATTCTTCACGTACTACAATGTACACTGTGCATTTATGGTGAATATAACCTTCAACTACTGCTACTGCTACTAATATTACTACTGTTATTATACTACTATCACCACTCTTACTATACTGCTACTGCTATTACTACACACTGCTATTACTACACACTGCTATTACTACTACTACTGCTATTACTACAAACTGTTATTATTAGTACCGCTACTACGTACTATCACCACTCTTCACTAGAAAAATGAAAAACTTACTCTTCCAATGTCTGTCATCCTAGGAATATCATTGGTTGTAGCCTTTCTTCCTGAAAATCAAATAACCAAGAAAAAACAAAGTTACTTATCACAAGCTTGTTCTATGCACATGCATGAGTGTACATCTGAACCGCAGTCGCTGTTGTGAGGGAAAAAAAAAATTCCGACAGACCGACCCAGGTTCTGGCACCTAAAGGGCAATACAACATCTTCTTTTTAGGCCTAAAGTGTAGCTTAAAAAAAAAAAATCCCCCAATTGTGTTGTCTCTCTTGCCTATATACATACACATACCTGCCAGCATTTCATAAGAATTAGGAATTTCTAGCAGGGTTCACACTGCCTTACAATGGTTTAATATGCAGCAGCAGCAGTGTAACTAGCAATATGGGGTACATCTGTAAAAAAGAAAGCAAATCAAATTCCCTGCTCAATCGTGCAGCATTCAACACACGCAATACGGGAACTCTCATATCGCGGCACAACAAAAACAAGCTAAATTAGGCTTTAACAAAACAAAAATTGGTCTTTCAGAATTTTGAAAAATCAGAATATTCCAGATAATTTGGAAGGGTTGGCAGGTATGCATACTGTACAGGTAGCATTAATCATGTAGATCATACTGCTTTGACTTACATGAAGGGAAGTCAAAGCTAATATTTCATTTGCAAGGATATGCTATATTTGCTATTTCATACCTGTTCCTTTTCACAATACCAAAGTGAATTCAATTGTGAAACATAAAAAAAATGAATAAACTCAAATTAGGCAAAATGTGCATGTAAGAATCTATAGAGCACAATCACTCTTTCCAATTCTTAGTTACAACAGAACTCAAATCACAAATAACAATTTTAGAAGATCAAAGGAACAATAATAATTGCCTCTTTTTCAACATTACATGCATCATGCTTTCTCAAACACGCACCAACAAAAAAAACCTTATTAGCTACATCTACAATAGAGTACCGAAGCTGTGACGTCTTAAAAATATATTTTAGAATTCTCAATTTAAACTTGAATTTCAGAAAGAGCATCAAAAACAATGTCCAAATGTCGAAAACCAATTGAATATGTTAATTATTAGCTGAGTACATTCAAATGCAAAATCACAGTGATTTCATATTGAAATATATTCATTTGAACTAGCATATCTCAGCCAATTGGTTTTCAATGTATTTGGACATAACTTGTATGCTCTTTCGGAAAATGAAGTTCTAATCTGGAAACTCCTAAAAATATTATTTTGATGACGTCACACTTGACCGCTCTATACACACAGGAGTACAAAAGATATATATGGTAGTAGACAGTATAAAAACTTAATATACAAAAGCAATTCAATGACATTAGTTTACCTTTTCCATATACTGTTAATTGAGAGTATTAGTAAATAGTGGAAGATAGAAAATGTGGGGAGAGAGAAAGAGAGAGATTTTTAAAATGTAAAATCACATCAACCAAATTCAAGTTAGGATGAAAATCACATCAGAAATAAGCATAAAAGCATGCACTTAAGAAGAGTTCATATTCATATCATATAGTTATTCAAAATGATCGATAGCTATCAAAAAAGAAATCAAAAGTAACAAAATAAGATCATCTAAATCAAAAGTGCCATACACTAAATCAGCAAGCATTCTGTTTTGTTGTTGTTGTTACAAGACCATGTAAATGGGGGCTGACAATTATACATTTTCAGAGGTGAGATTAACATATCAAAGGGATTCTTTGTTTACCAAGAGGGATACCTACAGTGTATATGATACATGTACATGCAGCACATTTTCAAATGCACTTTAAAGGCATCGTTTAACAATATTAAATCTGAGATGCACGGCCCTACATGTTATCAGTGTCTGGGATATGGTGTAATATTGAAGCCCTAAAAAAATTGCTCTTCAAAAGCACTTGAAGATGACAAATTCAAAATAAAGTGTAAAGTTACAAGAGGTGCAAAAAAACACAATCAATGGTGCATAATGTCAATTAAAAACCAAGGGCAATGAGTCTTACGTTGAGGTTGCCGAACGGTAAGCTCAGGGCTTTTATACTCGTTCTGAATCTTCATATTATCCTCTGAACGAAAATATGAATGATATACTGAGTGTGGGAAGAAAGGGAGATACATGAATACGTTTTAATGAAGAAAGGGAAAAAGGAGAACTCATATAAGCCGATCAGATAATGAATGGTTCTTGGTCTGTAGTCTTCAGTGGATTGAGAAGAGAGGCATTCAATTCCAACATTGAACATTCATGTAGTGTGTTCCATGGACCAATTGGAATCTGCGTTGTACATTCACATAATTATACAAGAGTATGTACGTTCATTAAAAACAACAGGGTATGAATACATACGTTCTGATGTGTTTGATGAACCAAAGAAACATCACCAAGTTAGTTATCAATTGAATGCCTTTCTTCCATAAAACACTGACTCTAGCCTCAACCCAAAAAGAAGCTTAGCTGCTCCCACAAAAGATGAGCTATAATGGGAAAGCTTTGAAGACTGAGCATGCAATGTGCTAACCTTTCCTCATTGCTTCTAACTTCTCTTGTTGTTCTCTCAACAGCGCCATCTGTTGAGCCTCAAGATTGACGTCTGAGTCAGGTTTGTTAGGATAATTCTTCTTCACTTTTTGTCTGGTTCTTGAGCCACCTTATTAAACAGTGTCAGGGCAAAAAAAAAGTAATCTCTTTCCTTTTTATGTAACATTTTACAATTTACATGTACATCTTAATTTGAGTTAAAGGTAAAGACCAGTTTTGGAAACGCCCCCCTCTCAAAAAAATGAAATAGAAGCTCATATAACCAATCATGTGAAAGAATATGTTTTGACCTATACGTAATGATACAAATTTTGCCGGGAAACCTCCTACTAATTGACATATTTGGTAAATTTAGTTTATCTATCCGGACCATATAGAAATCGCGGACGTGTCGCGTAGTCCCATATACATTTTTCTGTGTAGAGTGCTTGTAACTTTACCAAAACTGGGCCAAATTTCTTATCATTTTGATGATTCCAGAACCTTGCAGTACACACCAATACTTATATGCTAGATGATCATCCTTTTCTGGTCGATTCCACAACGTTTCTTTCGCAATGCAATAGCATGACCAGAACTGGTCTTTACCTTTCATGTAAGTATCTCAACTAAGGATTTCAAAATGGAGATTGGGTAGAACATTACATGAAATATGTGCTTGTCAGTTTTGGTCTATATGTACATGTCCATGTATCTCTGAATGAATAGAGATGTAAACTGGATGTTTGAGGCTCTCAGCAAATTAATGCAAAGGAAATTCTACATGAACAGAATAACATCAGAGTGGTAAATGTATTTCTTCTCCCAACTAAAAACACTGCATTAGGCCAACACACTCATTTATTAAACCACCATCTTCCAGGAACACTGTGCATGCATGTAGGTCATCTTAAACAAATGCCTTTTACCAGTGAAGTAAACCAAAGAGGCGAGGTACATGTGCTGTGCATATACCTCTCAAAAGCTCAAAAAGGATTGCAAAACAGTAAAAACATGAGTACTCCTTTATTGATATCACTATTTTTTCTGTTGTAAATCTCAAAAGATTATTGTGATTAAAAACAAATTATTTTCTGACTTAAACAAATGAGAAACAAATCTTACTTCTATCTTTCAATCCATCAAAGTCTTCTGCTGCTTGATGATTCATGTTCCTCATAACAGCTACACTCCCCTTGTGTCTGGCTAGCTCAAAGACATCAACCTGAGGGCTACCTCTACGTGGAGCATGGGCAGCCTTTGGCATTGGATTGTAAGGATCATACTGAATTAGGGAAGGAAAGAAAAAAGAAAACACTTTTAACTCAAAGACATCAACCTGAGAGCTACCTCTACGTGGAGCATGGGCAGCCTTTGGCATTGGATTGTATGGATCATACTGAATTAGGGAAGGGAAGAAAAAAGAAAATACTTTTAACTCAAAGACATCAAACTGAGAGCTACCTCTATGTGGAGCATGGGCAGCCTTTGGCATTGGATTGTAAGGATCATACTAAATTAGGGGATGGAAGAAAAAAGAAAACACTTTTAACTCAAAGACATCAACCTGAGAGCTACCTCTATGTGGAGCATGGGCAGCCTTTGGCATTGGATTGTAAGGATCATACTAAATTAGGGGATGGAAGAAAAAAGAAAACACTTTTAACTCAAAGACATCAACCTGAGAGCTACCTCTATGTGGAGCATGGGCAGCCTTAGGCATTGGATTGTAAGGATCATAGTAAATTAGGGGATGGAAGAAAAAAGAAAACACTTTTAACTCAAAGACATCAACCTGAGAGCTACCTCTATGTGGAGCATGGGCAGCCTTAGGCATTGAATTGTAAGGATCATACTGAATTAGGGGATGGAAGAAAAAAGAAAACATGTTTAACTCAAAGACATCAACCTGAGGGCTACCTCCGCGTTTACCATGGGCAACCTCATGTCCACTTCACACAATTGGCCAGTTGTTTTATGGGTAATTTACTCTGTATCTAAAGCGAACTTACATCTCTATGCTTGTCTAGTTGACTCTGTATCCTTTGCTGTTCATATGCTAATTGAACCCTCATAGCTGAGAGAGCCCCTACCACATTTGTTTCATCCTTTGGCCCTCCTCGTTCCTTAGTTGATACTGCAGGTACAGGGGGTGAGGAACTCCTCTCTGATGCGCTTGGAAAGTCATCATCCTGGAAATAAAGAAGAGGAAAATAGTTGACATTGTAGTTTAAGTTCATGGTGTCAAAAGTTTTCAAGACTTGCATTACCAGAAGAAAAAAAAAATATTAATATGAGAAATTTTTTCACTTATACTGCCTACAAGTAAAGTTGTATTTATATTGATTACCCCCCAGCCCACACCACGGTCAGTGTTAATGGTCAACAGGACCTATTCAAACTGATTTCCTATCCAAAGGTCCCTTTTCCTCAATTCGACACTAAACATTAGTGGTATCCGTCCTGACTGTATAAATGTCTGGGACTTTGAAGCAATTTTTTAAATAGATAATTTTCATTTGCTAGCTGCAACTATAATGCATGTAAATATATGCAATGTTACACTGATGATGTTTTACAAACCCTCAATAAAGCTTACCGAGAGTCCTTTTCAGGACTCCTCAATCCTCCCTCTCTCTCACATGGTGCATGCACCCGCAAGCCTACTGTATATGATGTACACTGAACATACAATCATACGATACAGGGAATATGTACCAGCTTGTAAACCATACAGGGTCATACATTACAATGAATCAAGGCTCGTTAGAACACATCAATTGGATTAGTCTTGATCATCAAATGTAAAAAAAAATAAAAAATTTTAAGAAAGAAAACAAAGTGAATGTGTTTCTTTTTTTTATGTGACAAAACCACCTTTTCATTCAACAAGTACAAAAAGTGCATAAGTCTCAATTAGTCTCATGGGCTCACAGATTAAAAGGGTTAGAATACAAATGTAAAACACAAATGAACATAAGTGTATTAATTAAGTCCAGTGTAATGTGATTATAACAGGACTGTACATTGCATTGTATTTACATGATTGTGTACATCCATAAACTAAACAGTGTATTACAAGCTGTACACTGTACATGACTGACAATCTAACATACACATATGAAATGCAGCATAAAATATGGAATAAGATTCTTAAGTACATGTATGAAAGGAAACATGACCATACATGTATAAAGAAGTTATGAACAAAGCTCTAAGAATGAATCACGGTTAAGTATTATACAATCTAAATGAGTGCATAAAGAAATGGATGTAAAATTCAAAATAACAACATGATTAATTATCAAAGATTATTCAAATGACGCTCTTACTCCTCCATATACACAGTGATGTCAGCATTTAGACTCACTTCACCTTCCAGAATGAATGAAATAAAATCATGTTCATTCCATCAGTCAACTCATTCACATTCTTTTTCCAACGGTCGCTTTACCAAACATTATCTACTATGTAAAACTTGGAATAAATATCAAGTCAAATATTTGGAACGACAATTAGTCCCTGTGTGCTGGAAAACAATTCCTGGACTAACAAAATTGTTTGATCTTATACAGTCTGTATGAGAAAGTCTACCGGTACTCAAGTGGCCTTTTGCATGTTCTGAAAGTCATCCACTGTTGTAAAGGAGATGAAACCTGTTTTTACTAATCTTGCTTTAGAATAGTACTTGTAAGTGATTTCTTCCACATAAACCCATTGACTACAGAACTATTTTCTTCGAATATGCTTTCATACAGGTGCTACCCAGCTTCCATCGGCAATGAGTATAACATAAACTCAACATAACCTTGTGCATATTATTGATATACACTGTAAGTAAAAGTACTAAGTAATCAGAAATATATTTGGTATTCTACTGATGTCAGTGCACAGCAAATTGTCAGTTGTTTTTTTAAACATAATAAATTAAAGTACATATACCTGCATATGTCCATCGCGTTGAAGCTTATTCTGTAAACGTTGAGCCTTCTTGTACATTTCAGACTAAACAGAAGAGTATGTAAGCAGTCTTATTTGAATATACAAAAAAATATGCTCCAAGGACTAAACATTTAAGCAAAGTGTACATGTCTGCTATAATAACTTCAGGTAACAATATAAACCTGAATTTCCCTTACGATTAATCATGATTACCACCCTGATACCTTTAGAATGATTATTTTCTGATTTACAAAAGTATGTATAACCTTGCAAGTGGATGGTGTAAAACCATACCTGTACTTGGCACTATATGGCACTCATCCAAACTTTCTCATTCTTTCTATTTTTCTTGTGCGCCTCAGAATAGAATTGCCTAGATAGACGGTACTATACAAATAATAATAATAATAATAATAATAGTGGCTTCTTATATAGCGCACATGTCCGTCACATTGTGACGCTCCTGGCGCTGCCCCGATTATTACCCTGGCTTTAGCAAATGCCTATTATTATTATTTATTATAACCATGTGAACAATGTGATTATGAATTAAGATTGATTTCCTGTGGTCTTCTTTAGATTATATTTTGCAGAGTCACAAATCTCATACTATAGTGATACAAGCAACTACTCCAAACTGTGTAAATAAAAAGAAAATATCAATTGTAGCTAGATTATGTTGTAATATTTTACTGTGTATTAACAGATGAGCTTTTGTCAACCACATTTAGAGATTGTTGGTTTTCTTACTTCTTTTGAGACATTGACCAAGAAATCAACAAAGCTGTTTCCAGGTGGGCTCTCCTTTGATGGACAAATCAAATACAACACACAAATAAAAATAGTATGTACAGTAGTCACATTCTTTATCCACACAAGATCATACGTATAATGTTATACTTCACATACATGTATTACCCTGAGTTTATAGCTAAGATGCCTTAAAGTTATGGCCAGGAAACATTTAACGATATGTACATTATTATTTCCCATACTGGGTATCTCTATACAACAGTAACATGAAAGCGTGAAACAAATTATTTCAAGTCAGACACATTCAAGGTTACTGGCAAGCTACAAACATTTTCTGTGTTATATATTCCCTAAATTATGATGACATATTCTATTATACTTATTTCACTGAACATCAAGACAAGAGAGAGGGAGTGAGAGAGGGAGGGAGAGAGAGAGAGAGAGAGAGAGAGAACTGTAAAATTAAGGTACAATTTTCCATCAAATAAGTAAAATGTGAAATGCTAAGTTTGTATTACAATATCCTACAAACATTTAAATGCTTCTTTTTGGGGGTGTAATTTTACATTAATTTCTTATACTAAGACTTGACTGTCTGACAATCTAAACTTACAGAGTATCTTCCATTCCCAGGGCTGATGTTTTCCAACTGTAGGCACAAAAGAATTTCATCAACAAGAACAACTATTGAAATATATAAGAAGTGAAGTTCTACACACACAAACACAACACATAAAGAGCCAACTGGTGAGTTCCTTTTAGCAGCCGAGGATATTAAAAAAAAAAAAAAAAAAAAAAAACATATCTTAACTACATCTACAAATGTTGGACAGAGACACTGTCTCCTCAATGCATACATGTTGGTTATATACACCCAGTCATTCTCCATATTTACGCGTACTATATAACACTGTCGAGAACATGTGCAGATGGATGAGGTCACGTTGTACAAACAATTTCAAAAGAAGAAATACATACAGAACAATGTGCCATGTACAGTACCATGCAGAATGACTTCATGTGTACATTATAAAATGAATGTTACTTATTATATTCCTTCGACAGAACTAACCCTTTAAAATGCAAACAAATCCACAACAAATTCTCAAACCACAAAGATATTTACGGTATTCATTGAAGGCGTCACTGTGCTACACCCTCTAAACATTAGATTTTTGAATTTTCCCAACTGTTTCCATGAAAATAAGACATAAATCAGGCTTGAAAGTGCTAAGGGATTGCTGTAGTAGGTAGGATATCAAAGTGCAGAGAAAGTAATAACAACACCCGGTGAGCCTTTCAACAAAGTGAAGACTATCCAATCCGTGCAAAAAGTTAATGATTGTGTTAGGGATTCATAATGATGAGCACACATAATCTTACTCTTCTTGGTTTCTCTTTCCTCCTAATAGGGGCTGGCCTGGTCTTAGACTAAGAAGGAACAACCATAGAATTCTTTGCGTTTAAAACTGGCGTAAACAATTGATGCATATTCAAATATACATCTACATTCACAGGATTATCTTATGAAGCTAAGAGAGGACTTATATCGCCTCATTACAAACAAGCATAATGGCAGAACTTAATAATAATAATAATAATAATAATATTTAATTTTTATATAGCGCTTAAAGGGAAAGTCCACCCCCAAAATAAGTTTGTTTCGATAGAGGCAGAATAATAAGAAAATCAGGAGAGTGAAATTTTGAGCAAATTCTGAATGAAAATAAGAAAGTTATGAATTATTGAAGTTGTGATCAATCAAATACAAATTGGCAACTCTGTGACTTATTATACGAGCTCTTCTTCATTTGCTTTGTGCATTATATTCCATAAAATCATGTTTTCTTCGTTATTGATGATGGAATATATATTTGTTCCTTGCAGGGGGAGTATAGAAACATATTTGCAATTATTATATTTAGGGTGCATGTATGGTTGAAATTTTTCTTGAGGGAAAATGAAAATTTTAGATTTTTTTAGTACTGAGCAAATGGAAGTTGAGCTCGCATGATACGTCATAGAGTTGCCAATTTGTGTTTGATTGATCACAACTTCAAAAATCCTAACTTCCTTATTTTTAATCGGAATTTGCTCAAACTTTCACTGACTGTTTCTCTCATTTTTCTACTCCTATTAAAACTAACTTAATTTCAGGGTGGACTTCCCCTTTAATACAAATGTCTCTAAGGGCTTTACAAATATACAGCTATGTAGAAAAGTAAGTATTGTATCAACAAATTAAGACACACTTTGCACATATACACAATACAGTGAGGTGAGAGATCGAAAGAGCTTACTGATTCAATGTCTGCAATGTCCAACTCCTGTTCAGATAAGCTATCTGGAGACCTCACCTGAGGCTTCTGAAGGTTGCATGAGTGGTACGGAAAGTAAAATGGTTTGATCACCTACATTAGTGTATGTTCCTATTCTTCTAACATTTCTATTCATGACATGGATACAAATATTCAAGGGTACGGCAAACGTCCACATGTCCATGTACATTGAATTTTTCAGTCTACTTTTTCTATCATAACTGAAAGTCATACGAAAGGAAACGTAAAACACAACAAAAACTGAGAGTAGAAACTAAACCATTTATTAAGAAGGAACCCATAAAAGGTAATAATAATTGCATGGACACATGCAGTTAACTACTTAAGTCACATTGGCAACACCATATAAGTCAAAGCCAACTGACTATAGTGGTCATTCGCATATACATGTATGCTCTCCTTTAGAGAAGAAATATGAAGTGTAGAACCTGTCTAGAAATGGAACCTGTCCACAATAGCTACTTTTTTCCCAGTTTCCATAGCATGGCCTTTACAGACAGGATTGACTCTTAAAAAAGTGCATGCTAGTAGTATGTACCTTAGAGCGGGGAGTCTGTCCACGATTGACCTCATGCAGGATAGCCTCAACGTGACCATGCTTGATGTCTGGACAGAGGTCAAGAAGGGTGCCTCGCTTCAGGCGACGTATCGTGTTCCAGGTCTTGTACCCATTCTCAGCAAGGGGGGCAGCATACACAACAAGATCTGGGTCTAATTCACGTAACCAGTCCACTAGGTACTTCAGAGATGCATGCAATTAAGGGAGGAGTAGGAGGAGCAACATCAAATCTTGATTAAGCTGCCATCATAAAATAATATCCAACCAACAGATTTAAGTGTGCCTATTAAAGAGAACTCCAAAAGGAACTAAAACACTCTGGTGTAATACTGAAAGTAACAAAGATACACGAGAGAACAGCTAGGAACCCATCAAAAGCAGAAATATTAATAAACAAAGGCATGTAACAATATGCAAATGAAAAAATCATTCCGCTTCTAAATAGTGTGAACATTAACAGGAGTAGTGTAGGAAATCACCGGAACAAAACCTGAACAATGAGAGAATTAAAGAAAGGGCTTTTCAAAGGAAAATTAATACAGGCAAGGTGTGTACATAACAAATATCACTCAAGGCCGGGTGGTCATGCCAATCTGACAAACAGATACTCAAATTGAGTGCAAAACTTGACAATGCAAGGGTGATTATAACTTGGTGGAAAAACTGAGTCAGACAAAAAGACAAGACAAAATGTGCAAGATGTGATGATTGAAGAGCATACAACAAAACCCTTCTTTCACTATGAAAGGAGACATGTTAGTGCAACAAAATAATAAAATTAAAAATGGAAGCCACTCAAGTGCATGTTGCTAAAAATGCCATCAACCCCCAAAACTAGACTAGAGTTGAACTTAAAGCCTATCTGCGCTAATATGGCCAGTAGGGATTAGACCTTAATTCCTGCATGGCCCTGGCTGGTGGTTATCTCTCATCAAATGCAGCTCTCATGTAAAGGCATTGTTTAACAATGCAAAATCTGAGATGCATGGCCCTAGGTGTTATCAGCGTCTGTGATATGGTGTAATATTGAAGGCCTTAACAAAACTGTGCTTCAAAATGATCATGAATTGCCTAAAAAGAAGTAAAAATCTCTAAGTGACCGGTTTTTACCATTCTCATTTCCCCCAAGCAACTGTGTAATAAAAAACAGTTAGGAAAACAGTTTTGAAATTTCAAATTCCAATCATAAATATCTTGCTAATCAGACAGGCAATCGGCTTGTAAATGTCATGGGATTCCTGACTGACCTAAAAGTTTATAAGTATGATTGCAGCATGATCGAGCTACATCCAGGATTTTGTTTAGAATCTGAGATAAAGATACCCAATCCTGTTAACATAATAACCCAGGACCAAAATCCAGTTGAAACCAATTGGAGCAAAACCAATTGAAACCAGTTGCCAACTGGTTTCAATAGGGAAATTGGAACAACTGGTTCCAATTGAAACCAGTTGAAACCAATTGCCAACTGGTTCCAATTGAAACCAGTTGAAACCAATTGCCAACTGGTTCCAGTTGCCTAACTGGTTTCAACTGGAACCAATTGTTCCAATTTCCCTATTGAAACCAGTTGGCTTCAATTGGTTTCAACTGGTTTCAATTGGTTTCAATTGGATCCAATTGAAACTTACAGATGGCATAAACTTAATTAGTTATGAGTTAATTAGCTCTTGCACTAATTATCGCTCATGTCAACACAGAAACATTGTTATATGTGTCTACATTAAGTACAATGTAAAGGGCATTATAATATGCAGACCATATAATATACTTAACAAGGAAGGCATTGCCATTATATATGTTTGTATTTGATGTATTTTGTACATGGTTAGTGTTTTACTAATCAACTTTTAATCTGTGTAATTACAAAAATATATTACTAATGAACATATGCTTATCATTGCTAATTAATCTTTATATTTATCTAAAACAAATGCATTACTTGCAAATGAAAACTAATTAATAAGTACATTGTAAATCAAAATAAATTACATAAAACAGTGATCTTCACACAAGCATATAATATGCAAATTAACTGGTTTCAATTGGATCCAGTTGGGTAACTGGAAATATTTCCAATTGGAACCAATTGGGTAACTGGAAATGAATTCTAACTGGAACCAATTGGGTAACTGGAAATTACTTCTAACTGGAAATGAATGCTAACTGGAACCAATTGGGTAACTGGAAATGAATTCTAACTGGAACCAGTTGGGTAACTGGAAATGACTTCTAACTGGAAATGAATGCTAACTGGAACCAGTTGGGTAACTGGAAATGAATTCTAACTGGAACCAGTTGGGTAACTGAAATGAATTCTAACTGGAACCAGTTGGGTAACTGGAAATGACTTCTAACTGGAAATGAATGCTAACTGGAACCAGTTGGGTAACTGGAAATGACTTCTAACTGGAACCAGTTGGGTAACTGGAAATGACTTCTAACTGGAAATGAATGCTAACTGGAACCAGTTGGGTAACTGGAAATGAATTCTAAATGGAATCAGTTGGGTAACTGGAAATGAATTCTAACTGGAACCAATTGGGTAACTGGAAATGACTTCTAACTGGAAATGAATGCTAACTGGAACCAGTTGGGTAACTGGAAATGACTTCTAACTGGAACCAGTTGGGTAACTGGAAATGACTTCTAACTGGAAATGAATGCTAACTGGAACCAGTTGGGTAACTGGAAATGAATTCTAACTGGAACCAATTGAGTAACAGGAAAATCATCTTAATGTTTCCAGTTGAACTTCTAACTGGAACCAGTTGGGTAACTGGAAATGACTTCTAACTGGAACCAATTGAGTAACTGGAAAAATTACCTTACTGGTTCCAGTTGCACTTCTTATTGGTTTGAACTGGAAATGAGTACCCATAACAATATTTTCCAGTTCAGCAATTGGTTTCAACTGGAAATTTTCTATTCCAATTGAAACCAATTGAAACCAATTGAAACCAGTTGAAACCAATTGAAACCAGTTGGAGATTTCAACTGGTTTCAATTGGATTTTGGTCCTGGGAAATGGCACCATGAGGGATCAACAGAGGGAGCAAGTAGCTACAAGTAGTGCAGTCCTGCTTTAAAGCTAAAGACCAGTTATGGTCATGCAATTGCATAGTGAAAGAAACGTGAAATCGATCAGAAAAGGTTGATCATCTAGCATAGATGTACTGCAAGGTTCTGGAATTATCAAAATTATAATAAATTTGGTCAAGTCTTCATAAAGTTAGAAGCACTGTACACAGAAAGATGTATATGGGACTAGACACACGTGCGCGACACGTGCATTTGTACCTCTCAACAGTATATAGATATACTAATTTATCAAATATATCAATTAGTAGGCAGTTTCCCGTCAAAATTGTTATCGTCATGTAATATTCAAAACATATTCTTTCACATGATTGGTAATAAGAGCTTCCATTTTATTTTTTGAAATTGGGGTGTTTCCAATACTGGTCTTTACCTTTAAGGAATTAAAACAGTTACAGTTCTAACACATGTCAGTTCTTCAAGACAAAGGAACTAATTTATTACTTCATACCGACAGTTCATTATTAAAAACACCTGGTAATTTCTTCTTATAGACAACTCATGAGCCTGAACATTGTCTCTGCCATAAATGTGGTCTAGTGAATGCAGAAGTTCAAGTTACTCAACATAGTAACATTGTGAACAAGCAGTGAGTGCTAATAGCAGTGATTCAAACTATACTTGGGGAAAAAAACTGGTCAAAATTAATATGAACCCCACAATGGTACTGCTCTATCATCTTCATTTGACATGGGTGGGTGCAGTCTCAAAACCACTCTCAAAACACACTGTTGAAGGCATGGGTGCAGTCTCAAAACCACTCTCAAAACACACTGATGATCACATGTAGGTTATACTCCATTGATTAGTATCAATAGTGGATAAAGAGGGCGCTACAGTACTTACACGCTGTTTCTTATAAGCGGCTTCAAAGCCACCTTTAGTTTCTGGGAAGAGCCCAGAATCAAGGAGTGAGTCCTAGAAGCAATGGGTTTAAGGAATACATGAAGATATAAGTAGAGACAATTGGATTCAGTAGAAGACTACTGATTCTTTTTGTGATTTTACATCACATAATGGAGCTCTAGCTATTATATCCAGATTTATTCCCCCGATTCATCATGTACAAATCAATGGAAGTGTGTTGTAGCAAGTAGATAGAAAAGTATGAAGGAATGATGCAAGTACTGATAGCAGAGGTAAAGCCCATATAAGAGGGGATCGTTCTACATACAATAAAACAAAACAATTTCACTGATACCTGTCATGTAGCACACTGCAGAAAAGTAACACCACCTAAAAATGGGTTGGACCTTCAGAATATATAATGTATATAAGATGGGTGTAATGCATGATATACATGACATGTAGAAGCAAAGTACACAAGTATATATTTGAGACACTAACTCAACAAGGCCTAGAAAAGCTACACAGATAGGAAACATGAACTTTGGCAGTAAAAGTTCATCATACAATAATGTGAGGCTTAAAGGATGCAACACAAATTTGGATATGGTCATTTCTTTGTCATGGACAGTCAATCCCTTTCCAACAATAATACAAGTTGGACATACAGTACATGTAAGATACACGTTTGCATAGATTTGGATGCAAATTAAGGTTATTGCACTCAATAAATGCAAGGATACGTTAGTGGTATATGCAAATACACTGTATGAAACTATTTATGATAGCTGAGCAAACTGTAGATGCACAACAAAAGGCAAGATGTCGAGATCTGATAAGACTCAATATTTGGTTAGATTGGTGGTTTCAAAGCTGTAAATTGATATATCAATTTACATGTCGATAATATATTGTGTGATATTAACTCACAGTAATTATATAAACTACATGTAGCTTTGTGTCCTATTGATATGGTTCTATATGGTTCAATTCTATTAAATCATTATTATCAGGAATTATGAATTTTGCATTTCGAAAGCGTCTGTTTGTGTCACTTCATTCAGCTATTAAGCTGCTATAGGCAGCTGCATGTAAGATAATTAGTATTTAGACATTGTAAAACGTTGGTTATTATTCCTATCATCATGTCCAGTATAGCGTTACTTATCATTGGTCCTCTTCCAACATACAAAGAACATTGGAAGTACCTATTAAGATGATTACATGTACTCTATGGTACTTTAGAAATGCTGTTTTCCATTAAATGCATATCCTTGAATTGTGAACCTACATACACGCAGATGATTAGTATCTACTCTAGAAACGCGGGTTAGAAGTCACATCAAAATCATGTCTAGATCTTATTAAAGGCATCGTTTAACAATGTTAAATCTGAGATGCACTGTCCTACGTGTTATCAGTTTCTGTGATATGGTGTAATATTGAAGCCCTAAACAAAATTGTGTTTCAAAATATCAAAAAGTGCCTCAAAAAAGTAAAAATCTTTGAGTGACTGGTTTTACCATACTCTTTTTTCCCCAATAGACTGTATATAGTGTTATGAAAACTGTTAGGAAAACGCAAAATTTGATTTCGATTTCCAATCATAAATATCTTGATAATCAGACAGGCGATCGGCTTGTAAAAGTCATAGGGTTTCTGACTATCATTGCAGCATGAGCTAAATCCAGGATTTTGTTTCAGAATCTGAGACAAAGTTACCCAATCCCTTCAATACCATGTCTAGATCTTATTAATACCTACAACTTATAACTGACACACATGCAAGAACCTCCATGTACATGAGGAAGCTATCTATTCTAGAAACGCGGGTTAGAAGTCACATCAACATCATGGCTAGATCTTATTAATACCTACAACTTATAACTGACATACATGCAAGAACCTCCATGTACATGAGGAAGCTATCTATTCTAGAAACGCGGGTTAGAAGTCACATCAACATCATGTCTAGCACTCACTGATCACTATGCAGCCATGTTGTATTCTGTTATAACAAACATGTACATGAAGGAAGCTATGTATTAGTATAAACCTTATTTAGAAGTCATCATATCGAGAACTGGCCATCGATCCTTACAAATTTCTTTTGACGTATGGTCTTATTAGTATAAAGCTGGTTAGAACTCATCATATCTAGAGCTTACTGATTTGTGTGGGTCTTCTGGATAATGATTTCTTAACTTCTCCAAAGGACTGAGCCTAGCATTCTCTTTTGGTATCACCCTGGGATGATTGGACTTCTCAGGGACCGGCGCAGGATTGCGGAACTTATCAAGAGGATCAAGTTCAGCATGCTGCTTGGAGATATCTTTGGGTGGGAAGATGCGTGCCCTGCCCGAGCCAGACTTTCCTGTAGACTCTGCGTAGGAGTTCAGAGGATCATCTTCTTGTTTAGGACGGGGTCGTCTCTTACGTGGTTTACGAGGTGTTTCCTCTCCGTCATTTCTATCTTCTTCCCGAGGGGTTTCTTCATCACCATTAGGTGTTGCTTCCTTTCGAGGTCTTCGTGATCTTTTTGTTCTCTCCCCTTCTTCATCTCGAGGAGTTTTACCAGGAGAAATCTCCCCATCATCATCATCATCTGGATGGGCTTCTTTACGAGATCTGCGTGATTTTCTGTTCTTCTCCCCTTCTTCATTTCTGGATGGCCCCTTGCGAGGAGTTTTCTGGTGATCTTTGTCACCTTGTTCAGGTGCACGGGAATGTCTACGAGAGCCTTTCTTTTGAGACCTATCGGTTCTATCACCATTATCCTTTAAATAGCCATATTGAATGTGTATAAGCAGCATGTAAGATAGAAAGAAAAAGGACATGTAGAGTAGAAAAAAAAACATGCAATCTAAAGCACAGAGCCTTCAACTCTTTGCTTTGACTACACAAACTCTATGTCTTACTACACTTTAGAAATGAGGTTTCTGTAGGCAATATACAATAATACTGTATAAGTTTTGATACCAGGAAGCAACATTTTAAAGAATTTATAAAAGTTTGCAGAGGTACATGTAAATCATGAACACATAAATAACATAACAAAATGAAAGATATCAAAAACATATATACAAACACACATATATACACACAAATACACACTAAATAAATGTGTATGTATATATATATATATAGATTCACAAAGGTACTTATGTCATTTATACAATAAGTTAAAACATCTTTTACAAAATGATCATCAATTATTATGCAAGATAGCAATAACAATACTAGAGTGGTTTATTCAGGAATTCTGATTTCATATTAAGAAGACAACATTTACTTGTACCATCATGCATACTGCATGTAGCATTGGTGCCTGCAAAACCCTGATTATTCTAAATGATGTAAACAATTTTTTCAAGGTAAGTCAATAGATAATTCAAGTGAAAGTACAAGTCAAAATGATGTTAAAACTTTGATACCAAGCCAAGCCACAAGTGGCATCACATACCCAATACATGTACACATAATGCAAAGAGAGAGAGAGAGATAGGAACCTCCACACTGCACACACTGTCATACCTGTGAGTCTGGTTCAACAACCTTTTTATCTCTCTTTTGCAGAGTGGGAACGGGTGGGGACTGAGTACTCTGGATTGCAAAGGAAGGTTAGTAAGCAAAACAAAACAAAACAAACAAAACATGTAACTGTTTGTTTACATGCAGATAATAATATGCATAGACCTGTAAGAAATCTAATCAAAATGATGAATAAGAACAAATATATGATTGAAAGAAAAATGTTAAAAATAATGAATGGAATGCATTGCAATGAATGCTTCATGGATACATGTTTATTTACGCAACAAATTAATTTGTGATTAATACATGCTCGAACAAAAAAATAAATCCCCCCCCTTAAACAATATGTATATATACATATAATAATAATAATAATAACAAGATAAAAAATAGTACAAATTTTCATCTTCCTTTATAAATGATTATTGTTACATTAGTTTTGAAAATTTTAAAATGATATTTTACATACATTATGTTTTCATTAGCATGGACAGTATGAGAAGTGATACTATGGCTTCGGAATGTATGCTCTCATACATTACAATTAAATATTAGCTTTAAGATAAATAAAGCCTGCATTTTGTGTGGAATAAGCCTAATGAAAAGCGTTTATTTGAAAAGGAGAATATTGAATGAAGATGTGAGATGGTTTCTTTACCCTTCTGGCAGGTTGTGGAGGTGGTCTCTTTGTTTCCTCCTTCTTCTGATGAGTTGGGATGGGTGGGGAGGAGATTCTCTGTAACTGGAGAAGAGAAGTTAATACCGGTAAAACTGACATCTATGTAACATGTGGGTCTACATGCCTTTATCCATCTATGAGTGTGTGCGCTTCCCTCTGTTTGAGTATCTTATTATTTTCCTCTTTCTCTCTCTCTTTAACAACCACACACTGCATACACATACACCCTGTATTTATCTAGCTTTTTCTTTCTGTATTTTTCTTTCTCTCTGCCCATCTCTCTCTCTCTCTCTCTCTCTTTCTCTCTCTCTCTCTCTATCTCCCTTTCTCTCCATCTCTTTCTCTCTGTCTATCCATCTCACACGTTCTTGCTTTACACGGTTTATTCACATGTTACTGCACTAACGGTTCCTACCTCTGGTTCCTTTGTTCTCAGTGTAGGGATTGGTGGAGAGGTACCTCTTGGCAGCTATAAAATACAGAATAGGACAAAAGTTATGCTACCTGTATATCTTATTTAATAACCAATGTGTATAATATCAATATCTTAATTATTATAATAAATTGGACAACACATCCATGCCATGCAATGTTTTCATAAAACAATGTTGTAGGTTTTACCCTTCTAAAATTCCCAATAACCTTATTGCTACAGAACCGTGCCATAATCAGCCATGGCATTAAAGCACACAGACTTTGAAGAAAAAGAGGTGGATTGGAGGAGAAAAAAATTGATTACATAAAAATGAATACATGCATGTACAAGAAATATTATTTTATTTCATTTATTTATTGATTATCTTTATCATTATTATTTTAAAAAGAAAATCTATTTGAATTATATGATAACTTACCGAAAGATTATTAACATTCTGATTGATATCTGTATTTCTGAGCTTCTCATCAGCTTCTCTCCTTCTCTTCTCATTAGCTCCCTTCTTCTTTTCATCGGCCTCTTTCCTCTTATCCTCTAGCTGCTTCTCTAAATCTTCTTTCTGTTTTCTTTGCTGTAGAATAACAAAAATAATGGGACAAGAAGAACATAAAGAATGAAAAACAAATGCACAACACAGTCATTACTTAAATATCTATACTGTACCACAACTATGATTTCCTGGGATTATTTTATTCTTCATGGTTCATTTCCTTGTATTATTGTAGTTGTTGATGTTACTGTTATAACCATAGCATCAATCAGAATGATTATATGCCCCTTTAGAATTTCAGGAAATAAAACACAAGCAATATGTATTCACTATGAAGATGATGCCATATAAAACACACATTACTGTATCTTAGGGACGTTGCGCTTCAAACATTTTTTGTTTATGCATTGTTCATATGTGACCCGGCACCACAAAACCAACAAAAAGTCGCAAAAAATTATTTTCCTGATTTCATCTGATTATGAAAGAGGAAGTTTTCCTCATTAAAATGGTATATTACTTGTCCAAATTGAAGCTTCCTAACCCTTTCAATTTAGTGAATGAAAAGAGCTGGTGAGGGAGGTTACTGGTATTAAATTGTGAGAAAGAGAGCTTTAAAGTTTGGGGCTATTCAAGCGTGCGGAGCAAGCAAACCACAGGGAAATCAATAGAAGGGTGAATCAAAAGGCCATAGCAACCACTATGAAGAGATTTTCAGATTAGGCTGAAATTTGGCCTGATGGTCAAACATAGTCTGTTCATTATGTTTCTGAGGTTTCAATGTGTGGACTTAAGTCTTTCAAAAGTTATTATGTTGTAAATGTATAGAGTTGTAATTGGACAGATTAAGTGAACTGCAACATAGTGCCGAGACACCTGCACTAGACAATGCCTATTCATGGTGGACCCGGAGTCTTTTTGTTCCCCCTTACATAACACTGCTTGTCACCTATCTTGTTTTGTATACATCTGGGCAATTATTTGTAACCACATTATGAACTTGCTTTATACTTAATTCCCATACTGTTTTCTTTCTCACAGGAGGTTCAAAGTATTTTTACTATGACTTGCTCTTTCATTTCCAGTAGCCATCCTGATGATAATTAATGGAAGCAATTCATAAATACCAGCCAGAAAGTGGTATAAAAATAAAGAAAGGCAGGAGACGTTGTAGACTTTTTCGCAACTTGTCACTCTCAAATGTATAAAATATAATAATGTTCTTACTCTTGATCAACAAATTCTGGATATGTGATGTACAATCAAGCTACTCGAAGTCGTTAACGGAGAATATAAGACGAACGCAAATCTGGAACTCGGATGTGAAAGCGGATACAAACAAAATGGCGCGCCGCACTGATTGCTATAACGGACCAATCACAGCCCGCGTAGCACGACCCGTTAGCAACGACCGACCATTTCCGGACTACGATAATTTCGCTCGGGAAAAGTGATCAAATTTTGGAAGAGACCGAAGGCTGTGCGAAAAAAACTGGTCTAGATAAACCGTTTAAAACGCATCTTCTACTATGTTTTAGACTTCCAAATTTTGATACTAGGTACAGAAAAGACCACTCTTTCAGAAAATGCAAAAAAACAAAAATCTATTTTTTTCACCTAAATTAACATTTTAGCTGATTACGGAGAATCGCTGGTTGCGACTTTTTGTTGGTTTTGTGGTGCCGGGTCACATATTATGTATTATTATTATATATTGTAACCCACTGAATGTTATTATCTGTAAACAATTATTTTACATGGTGAAAAAGTAAAACAAACAAACATGTACTAGATGATCATTCAGATATTCTTTATTTTGGTATTTCATGACTTTCAAAGATGGCATGAAGCATACGTGGATGTGTGAAAGTACATTCAGAATATGTAAGATATTCATTACTCGGAAAATCAGATGTAACACAAGATGATTATTGGTCATGGATTTATTTATATATAAAAATGGAGAAGAAAAAAAAAGCTTAGTACTTCTTCCATGCCGCTCCAGATTCTGAGTGCTTAACAATGTATTTTGACAGAGAAGTTCTACTTTTTCTTAACACAAAACCCTGTCTTAAAGGTACTATGTCCCATTTGCAGGCCAAACAAATGAAAAGGATAAATTCCGACAGCATTTGAAAGTTAATACTAATTTTGAATTTTCTTCAAAAGGAAACGGCTTGAAAAGGGCTTTTAGTGTACTAACGACCATTAGTTGTCGAATAGACCTAAGTGATGGCAATCACCTAGAAAGTAATAGTCTGATTTTCAGACCATTTTACTGAAAGGTTGTACATTTTTTGCTGCACAAAGATTTGATCAGTTTAATTTTGGCCATTACAAGTAGAGGGTTATTGATGTCAGTAGACAAATGTTCCTGTTACAGCTCATTTTATGTATGTTATTACCAAAGAAAAAAATATGTCAATCAGTCATTCAATAGTGTCTGACAGTGAAGTCTAGAAGGTAAGTGAGTTTCCTTGCATAATTTGAATAAAAGGACACTGCTAATGTTTAGATTTCACAAATAGGACATACATAACATATTCATAATTCCTGCAAAATTCTACAGAATTTGACGTAGGCTGCAAAAGGGTCACAGTATCTTTAAAGCTTAAATCTATGCAGAGACAACGGAAGAATACAAAGTTGACAAGTGTTTAAATCATAAATTACTGTCAAAAGTTTAATCTTGATAATCGTCCCAAAATATGATGGCTCAGATAGGTACTGTATTAAGTAAGAGTGTATGAGTGAGTGAAGTGGTATAAGGCCATCTCAAAGGTATTTAGTAATGCCTCCCTGACATTGGCACAAAGTCTGTCCCCGCAATGCCAGGCATTCTTTGTGTCAAGGCATGCCATTTCAGGTGCTACGCAGCATGAAGCTGTGCTTGTGGCCTGTTCACGCACTGTACACGCATACGTCACGCACTGTCTACGCAATGCACAGCCCAATATAGGCCACATTGGCACACATGAATACGCTTGGTTCTCGCATGGTTCACGCGAGTGGCACGCACATTGAACTAAAATTGATGCATGCTGAATTTTTGAAAAATTCAAAATTCTCTCTACGACATGGCACACACCCCCGCACTCTTCACTCACTCCTCTCGCTTTAATCATTGGCACGACGCATTGAGAGGACAAAGTTTGTGCCAGTGTCAGGGTGGCGTAAGAGTCTATGAGTGAGTGAAGTGTTATTATTACTTACAGACCTGCCAACCTCTGGAGTTCAAAAACTGTATTCTTTAGTCCCAAAAGTTGTATTTTACTGACAAAAGTTGTATTCTTGAAAATAAACACGGATTGTTACGCGGATCAATGCCTCTTACAGTTTCTACCTACAGGAAGAATTTTTTTTATTGATCATTGGTTGAATATGCATGATTTTGTCATGACTGGTGTGTTCGATGAACCAATGAACATCCCCAAATTGCCGATATGAGATGCTTGTAGGATACTTTACAGGACAGAATGAACATTTTGCCATTGAAAACGGCGGACGCACACACAAAATATTAATTAAAAAAAAATAAGAAAAAAAAAAAAAAAAAAAAAAAAAAAAAAAATTTAATCGTATTTTATTAAGGAAAATCGTACTGTCGTATTTGCTTCTAAAAATCGTACTAAATACGACTAAATCGTACTGGTTGGCAGGTCTGTACTTACCATCTCTTCTTTCTGTTTCTTCCTCTCTATCTCTGCATTATATTCCTTCTGAATACGGTCTCTCTGTGCTGCAAGTCTTTTCTCTTCTTTCTCCTCCTCTAGCCTGATCTTCTCCTTCTCTTCTAGTTCTCTCCTTTTCTTATCTTCAACCTGTTTACATTAAAAAAAATATACAATTGTACTTTAAGTAAAATATAACAAATGGAATGGCAGGGGGGGGGGGGTGCATCCTTGAAGTTATCTAGATATAAAGTTCTCTAATAATGTGTTGTACTGCCAAGAAAAAAATGTCTGGAGACAAGTACATTTACAGTTAACAACTGAATTATTCATAACCCTTTGATATATTTTTTTTTTGAAAACTCAATAATGTAAGATGGACTGGTTGAAATAGGGCCTCTGTTGAATACTTCTATATGACACATTCTTAAGAAACATAAATTGGGGGAAATTATTATTATTATTTTTTTTTAATTACAAAACTTGGTAAGGGTATGAACAATTTAGCTGTTAAAGGTATTACAAAGTTTTGGTATGGGGTCATGAATTTGGTTCAAATTAACATATTGGAAGCAAATGCGTTCCTACAATATACATTGACTGTTGTCGCGGTTGAAATCGAGTCTAAAGTTATGAAATTATAAATAATAAACTCTTTGTTGTATAGCTCCCTCTCAAGGTCAAGATATTAATTTAGCTATGAAACAATGTTTCTTGACTAAAATCGATTGATAAGCTATTCCCATTTGGAAATTATATATCCCAACTACACATTCTGAGATTTTCATGGTCACAGCTAACATTATACGGCCATAGGCGCTATTTGAAATTTATCATAATTTACCGGGAGCACCGGTAAATTTTGATATTCAATTTTTCTCGAAAACAGAAGTGTTTTAGGGGCTAATTTTTTTAGTGCTTATAATTCATCCACAGGGGCATTCCAAATATATCAAAATTGTAAAGATTCACTATCCACCCAATTTTCAAAATTTCCCAAAACTTTGTATTACCTTTATTAATTGGTCTATGGATTGGTGCTGTAGTTATAGCTCTTGATGAAGTACAGATATTGTTTAATTCTAAAACTAGTATTATTGTTATCATTTTTCAGGATTTCTCAGATACATTACAATGAAAACAAGAGATATAAAGTAAGGACAAGTGATTCAGATTCCCCTGCTACACCTCCAGGGGGGTATTTCACAAAACTTGTCATCAGTGACAAATGACAGTTTTTGTTATAAGCTACTGAAATCCTTGCTTCTGATTGGTTATCAGCAGATTTGTCACTGAATTTTGTCATTTGTCATTGAAAAAAGGCTTTGTGAAACAGGTCCCAGGAGTTATTTGGAGTATCAAAATAAGTGTGGAATTTCTATGACCATGAGCTTTTCCTACTCTGTATATCTATGGGTAAATGCATAATAATTATAAGTGTCTTTCATGTTTGTTTCTTTAGACTTCCTGACATGTTTTAGAAAAGCTAGTGCATATATGATGTGATATGATACATGAAGCTTGTGTTGAAGGTGATTTACCTGTTGTCTTAATTGATCCTGATATTCATTCCTGCTAGAATCTGCTGCTGCGTCTGGTACAGCTCCTGTGATAGAGCCTTTAATCCTACCATAAGCAGGTCCTGGAGCTAGTCCTGGTCCTGGTCCTGGTCCTCCTCCAGCCAATGCAGCTGCTGCTAGTAGAGGAGATACCTCTTGACCAGGGCCTAGAGCTGCAGCTTATGACATAGAGGAGCAAAGGGATGCTTAATAATTTGATAGCAATTTCAAAGCATGCTTACTTCATATGATAGTGAAAACAAAATTAGAATCTTAAGGCCCTTAAAGTGTTGGGAGCCTGGCAAAATTTCACTTAAATTGTATCGTAATGTGGAAGAGAATGTGATTTTATACACATTTCTGCAAAGATTTTAAATTCAAATGTGTGTCAAGTCAAATATTGATGAAAGAATACAACATGTAGATCTACTGTGTACAACAGAAAAAAACAAATTATGTATTCTTGTATCAATATTAGTCTTCAAACACATATTTGGGGGGGGGGGGGGGGGAGCGGGAAATCTTTGAAGAAGTGTGTCTTAAATGACATCCTCTTACAAATTATGATACAATTTAAGTAAAATTGTGCCATCAAGGTTTTGGCAAATTTAGGGCTCACAACACTTGAGAGGGGCTTTAAGTAAATCATGCAATGACAGGTTGAAAATGCAGTTGCCTGTACCGCCCCCCCCCCCCCCTGCGAGACATGAACACCTTCTATCAATATGAACCACACTGTCATCATTGACACCAATACATTAACATTAAAAAACTATCTTTATTATCATCATAACCCGCATCACCAACATTGCCATCATCACAATCTCCATTTAACCATCATCCATTACCACTCTCACAAATAATACACTGTCACCACCATCATCATCACTACTATCATCTATACGATAGCCAACAACAGAAAAAAATCCATCACCCTCATCATCTTCATCATTACCATCCTCATGATCTTCATCCTCATCTTCAAAAATCTATCATCCTTGCCACCGTCATCACCATATGTTCCAATGCCCTGCTATCACAAACTCTGCTACCACTGAACACAATCATTGCTATAATACTCAGTAAATTAATTGTCATTGTCACAATCAAATTATTCCCCTTAACAAACTCCTCATCATGTTCATCAAACATACCTGGATTGGTAGGTGGTGCATTGGCAGAGCCTGCATACAGTTGAAGATCCTTCCGGTTAGGGTCATTTAGAATCGTCTCATTTCTGTTATGCAGTTGTTTCAGATCAGCTATCAAATCAAAGAAAAAATACAAATGATGTACATGTACCAGCACACTGTCATGCATACAAGCCAATGCAATAATTCAACTCAGTCCACTGGAATCAAGCTAATAGCTTCTTTTAACAAATATAACATTATTTTTTAGCTATAGAAGAACAAATAGAATTGTCATGATGATTCGTCCGGAGCTGCCATTCAACCTACCCACACACAATCTTGCCTTTCTTGTCTCTCATCGGAGCTCCGGCCCCTCCTTTCCCCCAGGGGTCATACACTTCTATCTCCTTCTCGATTCAACTTACCCACAATCTTGCCTTTCTTGTCTCTCATAGGAGCTCCGGCTCCTCCTTTCCCCCAGGGATCATACACTTCTATCTCCTTCTCGATTCAACTTACCAACAATCTTGCCTTTCTTGTCTCTCATAGGAGCTCCAGCTCCTCCTTTCCCCCAGGGATCATACACTTCTATCTCCTTCTCTATTCAACTTACCCACAATCTTGCCTTTCTTGTCTCTCATAGGAGCTCCGGCTCCTCCTTTCCCCCAGGGATCATACACATCTATCTCCTTCTCTATTCAACTTACCAACAATCTTGCCTTTCTTGTCTCTCATAGGAGCTCCGGCTCCTCCTTTCCCCCAGGGGTCATACACTTCTATCTCCTTCTCTATTCAACTTACCCACAATCTTGCCTTTCTTATCCCTCATAGGAGCTCCAGCTCCTCCTTTCCCCCAGGGATCATACACTTCTATCTCCTTCTCTATTCAACTTACCCACAATCTTGCCTTTCTTGTCTCTCATAGGAGCTCCGGCTCCTCCTTTCCCCCAGGGATCATACACTTCTATCTCCTTCTCTATTTTGGCCTCATACGCTGCCTTTGCTGCATTCTCTACATTTTTCTTGTTTTCTTTTTCTTTCATCTGCACATGAGAAAAAGAAAATAATTCAGCAAATAATTCAAAAACGTCATCACAAATAGTAAACTAGAGTGAATCAACAGAGTTGAAGAAAATGAATACTAGATAGATGTCAGTTGATGGACCAAATTCTTACCTGTACATCTTAAATGCTAAGCACTTCAAGACACCATTTGCTATGATCAATAAGCATTATTCCAGTGACTTCAAATACAAAATCACATGTTATCTGTATTCAGTGAGTACCTTCAGTCACTGATTTGTTTTGTGTGCAATCAGTGCGAGTAGATATGGTGAAGCATGCACTTCTACAGTTTAGCTTCAATCCAGGGTATTGCTTGCTTATAGAATCAATTAAATCATGTGGTTAATGTATATGTTAGTACCTTCAATACTAGTCACAATGAGTTCGGTGTTTATTTTAGTAACTAAATCTTTCAAATAATGAGTTTGGAGTTTATTTCAGTAACTTAATGTTAAATTAAGCTTTCAAACAATGAGTTTGGCGTTTCTTTTAGTAACTGAATGTTAAATTAAACTTTCCAACATACCCTATTCACTACATGATTATAGCACATCGATATGAAAATTTCATGAGAATTTCTGCTTTCAGGAACTCTCATCAGGAACTCTCCTCTGCATTATTATAAACGATGTATAACAGCAACATTCTTTACTATTTTCATAAGCCAATTAAAAATGTAAGTACTATGAATGAATACTAAATAAAAGAAGACTCCTGCATTGCCCTATTACCTGAATAAGGAGTTGTTCTCTGTAGCTAGGAGCATTGGCCTGGGACCGGGGGCTTAGATTGCTGTCACCAACAAAGTTCTGGATGGCACTCTCTCCACGAAACTGTGCTGCTCTAAAGGTACACATAAAACATGATATGAAACGCTTTTAGAATTATATCACCTAGAATGTCACGCAAAAGTGAATACATTCCTCTTAGGACATTTGTATGTCATACCATGTTTGACAACTTTAGAATGATATAATTTAGGAAACAAAACCAGAAATACAAAGACATAATACCCTACTAAATGCATGCAAAGTCCATACCAAACCCTATGGTCCAGGTACTAATGATTCAACAGAATATGGAACAAAAATGAATATGTTATTCAAACAAAAAAATATTTCTGTTAATTTCTTCTGGTTTCGATCAGAAACTTCCAATTCATATGTATACTTAAGTTAAGGTACAGCATTGCTTAATGTATTGATGAACGGATGCAATAATCAAGAACTTTTGCATGCATCAATTGTTTGCAAATTGTTGTGATTGGCCACATTATAAAAGGCTTGAGGTCTTCAAGAATATTAACTGCATTTTACCGGTACACTGAATTTGGGAGATTTACAAGATTTCCTTGCCACAAAAACAACCATTATTTAATTTACATGATTGTGTTACTGTATTTTTACCAAGTTTCAGGTACATGTTTTAAATTACTCATAACATGTTTCTCTTAGCTTTCAATGGTAATTTCTAATTCGTCTTAATCATACAAATGCAGATCACTATAAAGAACAAAAATGCAAGATTCATAACCCTGTGAACTTACACTAATATTATGATTTCATACTGTGAACTTACACTTGTTGTAAGCCCCCATCACACCAAACTAGTTATCACAACATTCTGGAACTGCCCTAGAAAATTGTAAAACGGGTTGTGGTCGGGGTAGAATCTGTAAATATTGTTTAAAATACGATTCTAGTTCGTTCATGAAGAGTCAGGACAGGATTGCACACACTCTATAGGAGCTAAGAATGAGATACAATGTAGGGACAAGTTGAATTGTCTCTCAGTGAACAGGGTGGTCGTGTTACAATCTAGTTAGAATAGTTTGGACTTATAGGGAACGAGGTAGAACAAATTAAGAACGGGTTTAAACTGACTATGGACGGGCTTGGAAATCGCAAATTTACCCAATCTGAACTTGATATGATTTGACTGTGGACGGAGTACATCGGAGTTGGACGTATTGAGGGCTGTTTATGAACGAACTAGGATCGTATTATAGACAGTATTTACACATTCTACCTTTTTATAAACCTGTATATTGTTTTGAAATCATAACCCTGTGAACTTACGCTTGTTTTGATAAGACTGGGTTGGACAGCTGTTGATTGAGCTGGTTGGGTCCTATAAGCGACGATGGGAATTGTTGTTCAAGTTGTTGTTGTTGTTGTAGCAATTGTTGTTGTTGTTTTTGCAGTAAAAGGTAGCGTTCCATAATAGGAGAGGAAAAAGAGCCATCAGCAGCAGCGGAGTGGGGTAGACCATGTACCATACCTGATGAAAATAAATGAAAATAATAAGTACATGGGACTTATAAAAAGAAATCTTCTACAACAACAAAGAGCTGTAATTATAATGAAATCTTAAGCTTTCACACAGTGGACAATACACACAGGCAAAGGCTCTCTTCTGAAGGGGTGGAATACCAACCTCATAAATGCTTTAAGAATATTTGACTTGACTCAGACTGGAAAGCAGAGGAGGATGAAGAGCTAATGTAGAGGAAACACACAGAGAATAAAACAACAACAGCTGCAAGAAAAGATCTAAGATCATACATAACCAACACTTTAATGGTCCAACAAAATTGTACAACAAAAAGAGAAAAGAGAGAAAAGAAAAACACTCCACTCCCAATAGAACATCGCACCAGATTGCATTTACCCAGTAAGCTGTCTGGACTACTGCCTGCAGAGAGCTGAAATGTGCTTCAAAGATGTGCATGTGTGATATTAAGCTGTTGACTACTGAATTATCTAATCCCCATAGACTTAACACAGGGACCACCGGGTTCCAGTAAGCAATGGGTTAAGATGCTTTCATAAAGACGAAAAGTGAAATGGTAACATACCTGTATTTTATGCACAGGTTTGAGTGAAAGTGTTATTGTTATCAATAGTGAAATGCACAGGAATAGGAAATCAAATAAAACTACAGATGCATTAACATATTGCACAAACCAGCTTTGTCATACTGTACATGATTCTTACCAATGAGGAGAGGAGTTGATCAAATGGATGCACAAAAGAAATATGAAAAAAATACTCAATGATGAATGCAATACTTTACAATGAAAATACATGCAAGATTAGATTAATATTAACCCATCAATTGTAATTAAATTCAAACAATAAAATAAGTACAAATTAATTGTTCTTTAACATAAAGTACCCACAACAGAAATCCAGAATCAATCTAACTTTATCACACACTATTGGCATGTTAATGAATAGTGTTTTTTTTCTTCAAATATCAAACCCTTCGCGAGAAAAAGTTACATATTTCCTATTATTACTGTACATACATGGCCAAAGTATTCAAGGAAATATATATGCATGTACCAGTACACACATATAGAAGCTTCTAAGTAAAAGGAAACTGTGAACTATAAAAGAAACTCACATTGTCAAAATAGGGTGCTCACTGCAAGAATCATTATAACAAGGACGCAATCCACAATAATGTTATTATACAGTACTGTGCAATGAACTGATCATCATCATATTCTGATTCACATTGAATGTAAGGTATTTGATTAAATATCACACACAAATAGTACATAATGATCTGTACTCTCAAATTCAACATTTCTGATGTCTAAAATCTGAATGAGGAAGGTGCATCCAATCCATACATCCATTTTATGCAATCCTGCACTGCAAAACATATAAATGGTATAAAGGATTTCATCAAAATCATTCACAGTGGTTATGTTTGTTAGAAGAATAACAAAATATATCACCAAAATGTTAAGATTCATACTCACACAAAATTGTGTAATGTTAAAAATACTATTTGTTCAATGTGTACAAGTGATGACTTTAACTATAGAAAAATGGGAAAAAACATTATCATGAAGATTGAAAGAAATCAAGTAATCCTTTGCAACCGATTGTATTACAAACTCATAAATTTCAAAATAATTTTCTTGTATACGACGTAAAACTAAATGTCAAGATGTCCTTTCTTATCATAACAAGCCTTTCATCACATTGCTTCTCATTGTTCTTTCCCTAGCTCTCCCCTCCTCATCACTCCTTCCACTCTCTCTCTCTCTCTCTCCCCCTCTCTCTCTCTCTCTCTCTCTACTCATCTCTTCTCTTTCTATCGCAGAACCTTCCCCGAGATAGTTTAATGTAAATAAGAAGACAATATACTTTCATAAGCTGAGGCCATATCTTGGATGGTGTCTGCTTTCACCTTGTCTCTGAGTCTGAAGGTTTGGACTGAAATCAAATCGATGTTCTGTATTAATTCAGCCATCCCATCATAATCGACTGCAAACCACTACAAATGAAATGCCTTCCAAATACACACCCCTAAGTGCAGAAAATGTGTAATAACCTTTGTCATAACCGTCAGACATCAGTGCTACATGTATTATACCATACTCAATACAGTAAAACAAATTAAAACAAATTATAAACAAAACACTTGATTTCACATGTATGTGAACTGTGAATCAAGCACAGACTGTGTTTTTAAAAAAAAAGGACAACAGGTGATTTTACTTTTAAAGCATCTTTTTTTTTAAAACAAGTACATGCTTTATTAAGAATACACATGTATTTCCAAAGCACGTTCACATCCATTCTCAATATATTGAATCTGCTTATAAAGTGCATAAATTTCATAAACAAGAGAGTAGAAATTCAAAATCCCATTTGCCAGAAGCACTGCACAACCTGTGAAGAAAAAAGAAATAAGTGTGAGTATAAAATAAATCATAAAATATGATGGAAATGAGGGAAAACAACAACACTCTATTTACGTCCTAAGAGGGGTTCATCGATGTTAGAGGCCGAGTCTTTTTTTAGGTAAGATGAAAATGCTTGTAGAAACTGAAGCATGTTGTCTTGCTGAATCGAGGGTACTGGGGAAGGAATGAAAGATGTTGTTTAGTCAATCATTAACCTAGCTATATGAAATAACAAAACATACTGTATGAATGGACTGATAAAATCGTGACTAGTTGGTCTAAATCTTGACTATATTAACAAATATTCAATATATTTAGCAGGGGGCGGGTTGTCTCTCTTCCTCTTTCTTCTCTTTCTGTCTCATCCTCCCCCTCCTACTCTTTCTTTTTCTTTTTCTTCTGCTTCCCCCTCATTTTTTTCTTTATCTTCTTCTTCATGAATGTGATTGGAATGAAAAAATATTGTTTTCATGGTAAAACCTGACTGGGTGTTATGTCAATAAGCAAAAAGCTACAAAAACCTCAATTTTTAGTTGTATACACTTGGTGCAATCCTAAAAGGAAACTACACATAGGTAAGTGCAGTAATTACTGGCTTGCAAAGATGCGGCAGCTACTGATGGATTGAATTCCTTGAAATGTCCTGTGGAATGGATAGATTGAACAGGACCATGACAAGTCCTGTGGAATGGATAGATTGAACAGGACCATGAAGAGATCATTCATATTCTAGTGTGCAAGAACGACAAATGTTAATGAACATTAATATTCAAACACAATTAGTGCATATCATGGAAAAGTAAGTATCACAAAAACAATCAATACATGTACATGTCACATAGTACACAATGACCATAGTGAAGCTCCTAGATTACGTTATGTACACTCATTCATTTTTTCAACAGGATGTATACAAATAATCAAACCTGTATTCTAGAAAAGTTTTTATTGAATGTTACAAGAGACAGATATGAAAAGAGGGAAATAATTACTCAGGAGGTTGTTTTGTATCTCATTCTGTTGCCTGGGATTGAAACCTAAAAGATGAGAAGTGAACAAAGTAATGTTTCTCATTAGCATGCATTCAAACATTATAGAGCATATTAAAACACAAGGAATTAATTCAAAATAACAAGTCCATCAGTAAAAGAAATTGATACTGATTTTTCTTGCACCATGAAAAACGGATGTATTTGTGATTACTTCAGTACTCTTTAATAAGCTCAGGTATATGCCCACCACATTACAATGCCCATCTACAGATAGCATGAGCAATTATGACTACTTGTACTTAGACATGACAATGAAGTATAGTTAGGTACAGTATTATTCTAAATGTTTACAATGCGTTATTCATAGTGTAATGTGACTCTTATTCTTCATAATTTGTTGTTTTACAAGTACAAGTGTAAACAGCACAGTGTATTGTGAGTAGAAGTCTTGAGTAGAAGGACGAGTAAAGCATTAGATGGAGATGTTGTTTACCAGTGTTGGGATTCTCTGAAAACCTGACCTGACCTTGGTTGACCTGGTTTGAACTTCCATAATTCTGTGTGGGCTTGACTATATTGGATTCCAGGGAGAAAGAGAGATGGCATAAACTCACTTTGTTTCATTAAAATCAAAAGAGAGACTACCGGTATGAGGCTGTGAATCTCAGAAACCCTTCAAATACAGACTATGAGCAGAGTTGCTGATATTGTGGCTTTCAAAAGCTTACTAGATATTCAGATTACCATTCAAGTCATATGCTTATCTGTTTTGTTAATTATTATTGTTGTTTTAATGTTGTTTATATATTCAAATTTGTTATGATTGTACAAAACTGTAAAGCGCATAGAGAAATTCACAATTTATTATGCGCTTTATAAATATACTCTATTATTATTATTATTATGCTGAGAATGTTATAAAAGAAGGAAGATAAGAAGAAAAGTAACAAGAAGGGGGAAATACCTTTGATGGCTGTAACAAAGATTTAAAACTATCACAAGTAGGGTTTACACATACAGAACTCATGAGGGGGAGAAAAAAAAGGGGGAATTAATATGAAATGTCAACTTCTCTCTTTCACTGTCCAGCATGCTTTAGAGCATCTCGTGTATACTTTGGAATTTTATAATGTAGCAAGTTATAAGTTTTCCTTTCGTTTCTACAGCTGCCATATGTACCTCATACACAAAGCACAATTCTATTAATGTGCAACTGTATAGCGTACACTCAACAAGTGTCATATTTCAAAACTATCTTTGAATCACTGATGAAATATCTTAGCACAAAGTATTGACAACAGATTCATTCTTTCTATAATGATAAGCAGCCTAATGGGTGCAAGTAGATCTCATACTGGGGTTCTTTACAAAGAATAATAATCTGGATTTATATAGCGCCTCATACGAAATACCGTGTCTAGATATTATTACCTCGGTCACAGGATTCATTCACGCACAATGTGCACCATCTCCACTCCCTGGGGAGTATTCCTACTGTATGGTCACCATGAGGGCATATTGAAATTACTAACACAAAAGCTTTTGTCATCCTACCAGGTACCCATTTATCTCCTGGGTATGGA